CGCGTAGGTATGTTCTACTAGCGCCTAAAATCAAGATTTCAACATTTTGTTATAAAATCGTATCTAGCAATAATACTGAACATATAAATATATAAAAAGCACATTGTCAGAAAAATAAATGATTGTTGAACTTATTTATATTTTTTTTATCGATTAATTGCTATTTCTACATAGTAAATTGGTGTTAGTGGCTTACAGTGAAGATTTATCAAGCCCGCATGTAGTGGTAAATACGATAACTTTTGAAAAGATCAATTGTTTAACTCAATCTATTTTTTTAATCTCTTCATCTATCACGTGGGAAGCCATGGAATGTAAATGGCAGTTTCATTTTCTTTTGTTTAGTTACGATTAATTTTTTTCGGCGTAGAAATCCGAAAATTTTCGATGTTTTAGCAGCCTTGTAATAATTCATTTTACTAAATAGACTGCCTCACTCACCCACTTCGGCGTCAACCCCCGTCGTGAGTGGATTACTGTAACGGTTGTTTGCAGCGGCTCAAACAGATCGCGGTATAAATACAAAATATTCGAAAAACTAAATTTCATACATACTCGATTATTATAATAATCAGAGATTTTTATTACAATATTTTAAAAACACAGAATAATTAATAGTACTACTACTAAAAGTAAGTAGGATGTATATATTTAAGTATATTTATACTGAAATACGTCTTGGACTTTATGAAATGACCTGAATGATGATATGATGATCATATGATCATTATGAGTCGTGCACTTTTGGATTTTCCAAACTTTTTTATATTGAAATTTGACATTAAATTATTGGAAAATTAGAAGTATACTAATACGGTTATTAGTGAAAACTTAAGTGATTTTAAACAAATTTAAAAAATTACGTATAATCATGATTTACGTAATTTTTAATGCGCTTAGGGCATGCACAATTGGATTTACTAATAGTTTTTTTTTAAATTAACGAATAAAATTTATTATTTTCCCATTTTAAATGTTTTTGGGAAGTTTTTTGAAATAGCATTTTGAGCTAGTTATCAACGTTATACTTTGAGAGACTACTATTTTAGATTTCAATTATATATTATATACTATATATTTCATTATTTACGAACATAAATTTCACATAAACAACCCAAAAGCTTATTAATTATCAGTGTCTCAATTTATTATAAAAATAAAAAAAATACAATAACATTACGTAGCTCAAGCCCACTGTATTAAATTGTTATGGCGTTGTTTGCTGTCAGTAAGGTTTATGTAAACCCAACCACTTTTGAACTTTACCACATGCATTTGAACTTTAACAGCATGTCTGCTGCTATTATTGAAATGAACTTTTGTTGACACAACGATCGTAAGTGATAAACCAGATAAACACGTTACGACATGTTTAAATTATAAAACGAGGGTAATTCGAGAGCTCGTTTGATCTGTAGCCATTAGAATCAAGTTGAAAATGGATTATAATAATATTTCTATGTAACACTGAAATGACCTCCAAAAAGCAACAGTTTACAATGATAATGGAGAATCAAAATTCGTTGGAATACTTCTATAAACATCGGTAACAAGATTCTAATTTCTTATTTAAACGAAAAAAGAGCAAGTCGAATCAAGCAGAGCTCTTTTAAATTCGAGCGATCAACCAACGCTCTAATCGTAGTAGAAAAGATCGCGGCGCTAACTGGAGATAAATGTTGTCATTCGATTTAACGACACTTCGCGTGTGGCCGCGAGGGTGTTAAGTCGGGCCACGAAAAAAACGAGAAGTAAGCGATTGTACTATCCTTTTACATTAGAAAGATATAAGTATATACATGAAAAATGCAGTTTTAATCATCACTCCAAAGTTTTATGAATACTGTAGAAGTTTCGGTTTTGGTTCTGTCTTCGTGACTATTATACATAATACGACCGACGTTTCATAATTAAATTAAATAAATTATTAAAAGATAATAAATATCGACGAAACAAATAGCATATAAAATAAGGAAATAAGTAAAAAGTACATAAATTATGAAACGCATATTAAAAAGTGTATAAAATAATGATGATGAGCCTATTTAAAATGCATATATATTTGTTTTTATGCCTAGGACAATATTGGAAAGATTTCACCGATTTCGGCAACATAATCATCAATTCATTCTTTTGTGTGATTTTAAATATGAAAAGAAATAAGAGTATATATTTATTTTTATTCGCTATTTTATTTACAAACAATTTTTTTTATATCTCATATTTAAATCCTAAATTCATAGCATTTTGAAATCTGCTTGTAGTTTATTATAATCTCCAAAAACTATATTATAAGTTATCAATATATTGTCAAACTGCCACTGCAAAGAGACTGGCCATAAAAAATTAAGACATTCTATTTACAAAACCTAAAACTTACTCCACATATAAATATTGTAGTTCGTGCATCTCAAATCAAAATACTATCTACTAACAAACGCCAATTTCGTGACCACAGATTAAAATAACTTTAAGATCAGACGACAAATGTTACCAGGGAGCATTTACTTCGAGATTCCGGGTATCAATCATACGAATGTTTGTTCAACGTGTTAGCGTAATGTTACAATTGTTAAATTCCACGCCAAAGTGTTAACTGTCGTGTAAACTGTCGACAGAATGTTCAAAGTAATGTTGGTAGGTGTTATTTATACAAGCATCTCAAATTCAACCATCAAGTTGTAATCACACATTATTATCCAGATCAAACGGGCGCCAACACAGCTAATTTTAAAAATGTTTACAGTTTATAAACTAAAATACAGATGTCATGAAATAATTATTTTTAATGTAGCCATGCGTTACGAATTAAATAAAACAACAGCATTTTTAAATGCTGCCAAGACTTTCATAGTTTACTATAAATGTATCTGTACATTCTAATAACTTTACCGGCCTTACTCAAAATCGACTTCAATAAAGTTTTAAGATACTCTCACTTTCCACTAAATGACTTTAGATAGAGACATGTAGATATAAAATACTTAATTTAAATAAGCGATAGTCAATGGTTATAAGAAAGGCCGTTTGGTTCTATCTAAAATGAAAAAAAGCAGACTTTTGATTGTAAATTTTTTAAACTATATTAATTATAAAGTTATGTATTAATTGTTATTGATACCAACGGCTTTACCGGAAGTTACTTCGAGTAAAATTTATATTTTTTTAAAACGTAATATTTACGACTTATCTGAAACAAATTGTATAGTGTCAAAATTGAGCAACTTTGTATGCCTCTTCTTTAGTCATTCAAGATATTACGAGCTAAAATGCCATAGCAAATTCATTCACACATTAGCACTACTTAGAAATATTTAAATTACACTTCACAAAATTAGTAAAATCTTATATACAAAAGTTAAAACTATGAAAGGAACACAGTCAGTAACTATTCATATTGGGTTATGTACATCGGAGGGTGTTTACTTCCTGGAAGTACTGTAAAGATTGTTTTGAGTGTATCCCTTACTTTATTTTCCCTTATTAACAACCTGGAAATTTAGAATAAATGACGCATAAATCATTTTCCAATAGACAATTCATTAATTAGTTTAAACAAGTGGTAAAATTAAAAAAATGTACAACCGACTTCAATAAAATTGATTAGGGTTAACACAAAAACTACAAGTCAGACCTTGATAAAATTTGTATGAGGCTACATGAGAAGCACCAGCTTTCAAATAAAAACAGAATCATCAAAATCAGTTCACCTAGAAAAAGTTATGAGGTAACACACAAAAAAAACATACAATCGAATTGAGTACCTTCTTTTTGAACTTCTTTGAAAAGATCCGAATCGACTAACTCCATTTTGACCTAAAATATATTGCATAAAAATTTAGGTTGTTCACATTCAGGGACAGTTATAATTATTAGTAATGACTAATTTATAAGCTTTTTAATAAAATATTACCAAATCTGGGACATTTATACACCGACCAGCCGTAATGGATTATAATTTTACACAGTGGTAGCCACGCGGCAGGTTTTTCTGTCGCACGGATGGGCCGGCTTGAACCAGGGTGGTACCACGACCTCACAGAAAACCAGCGTGAAGTAGAGGTGCCAAAAAAACACCAGCGTGCGTTTCGCTTGGTGAGTGCAGGTGGCCGGAAGCCCTTTTTACTGGAAATGAGGCATTCCATCTTAGTCCTCACGGGTGACAACGCATCTACATTTTGATTTGTAATAGAGGATAGATGTAGACGTCTATGGGCCGCAGCAACGACTTACCATCAGGTGGACTGTGTGCTCGTTTGTCACCCTTATCTTATAAAAAAAAAATTTCGTTAACATTTTATTTACAAGAGGCTAAAATCAACTCACCATCCAGCCTAATAAAAATGTAATATGCTATTAAATACGTTACCGAAACTAAAAAAAACTATAAAATAAACGACATCAAACAACCACGTATAGAATACATACTTAGAACATGTTTTATATACAAGCTGTCCTCTTTAATTTGTTACAGTTTATCGGACGTGGTCCACATCCCAAGTCTGCAATTATTATTGAAATGTCATAACGACATTTCGCGACCTAGATATATTATAACAACGTACGTACAGTACGGACAAAAGCAATAAATTAGTTCGAATGAAATGTCAAGGAAAAAAATGTTTTTACATTACCATTAAAGGAACTATTATTTCCTTGTATCAGAAACAAATCCCAACAGAACAATGCAAGACTACTGCCACTGATTTACAGTGTTTCTGTGATTTCGACTTCAAAAATGGAAAATTTTTGTCGAAACTTTTATTTTTTGAAATTTATAGGGCATAATCATTTCTAAATATTTTTTACTTATGTCTTAAAATTTGAACATACCAAGATAGTACCAACAAAATCGTACATTAGCATCGTTCATGTTTTTAAATTTGTTGTGATAAGCATCCGGAATACCTATACAACTTCAATATGGTAGCCCTTTAAACTCTCAAAAATAGTCTTTTAACAATCTCAAAACGTCTTTGCAGTACTTCAATAGTATTAACTTATATACAGCTCTCCTGCACCCGGTGGGATGTGGTGACGACTTCAGGCCGCAAGCGGTGCGCTGTTAGCGACGACGTCACCGCAGTGCTGCCACTCGGACTACATGCATTCACGCCCTTATTCGCGCGCCCTAAGCTATGGTAAGACTGTAAGGGAAAATAATATTTAATAATAACGTTAACTTTTTTATTGAATATAGATTATTGTTGAAAGTCACTATTATGCTTAATTTACCACTAGTTCAGAAAACACCTCTGTCCTAGGAAGAACCAGCAAGAAACCCAGCTGGACTTTTTTTGGAAAAAAAAAGAACAGATTACAATCATTTAAATTACGCAATAATTAACAACCAGAGATGAAACGGATATCCGGTAACTATCCGGTATTCGGCCTATTCGGCCTAAATTACTATACCGGATACCGGATTTAAATAAATACAAAATATCAAATTTAGTTAAGTACTTTATTTATGTCACATAAAAAATATTATCAGTAAGTAATCACATAATTTTCATTTTAAAACTTAGAAAATTAGTACACAAAAAGCATGCACTATGGGCAAATTATGGTTAATAAATACATATTTATAATTTCCCTGCCTTGAAAGGTAACAAACGAATCCTGTCTTTATAAACAAATATAAAGGTCACGATCGCGTGCAATTCGCACTGACTAGTTAAAAATTATCAAGTAAGACATTTTTAAGCATTCCAATAGAATTTCCTTGTGAGCTCTTTCAACCAGCTTCAACCACTCCCAAGTAGTATATTTTGAATCGCAATTTAAGTAGCAATCAAGTATCTAGTTTCTTGACTTAGGCGTTGAAACGACTTTTTAATCTAACCTCAAACGATCGCGTTTGCAATCAAGACAATAAGTCATTGAAACAATTGCTAACTTCGCTTATGAACGGAAAGACCCGAAATTGCCCGAGTGCCGCACACGATCGCCACCTTCGCAAGTTCGCTTCTTGCGATGCACCAAACAGCAATATTTGGCAGAATATCCGGTGGCCGAATATTCGGCTATCCGGCGATAATACTGGCTGAATATCCGGTATCTAGTATTCGGCCAAACAGTTATCCGTTTCATCTCAATTAACAACACAATACAAGTATGAAATAGCATTGTAGCAATTACCTCATTCCCAAGCTGTTACTTTTTTATCATCCATAAAAAAGTAACACGGTGTTTTTAACTATTATATGCCAGTGCTTGACAAATATTCCACTGATAGCAAGTGGTGATGTAGCCAAAGATGGTAAAGCTCGCTAACTTAGCTTAGCAAAAGCCTATTCACGCTTGCTTTGAATACATCCTCATTGTAATCGGAACTTTCTGTTTTTTATAGAAGTGAGGGTCACGGACGAATATTAGAGATGGAAAACAGATATGACCGTTTGTCACATAGATGGTAAATGGGTGTTGTGACACCTACATCAGTCATAAATAAAGAATCAAAATACAAATGCGTTGTCACCCCTGAGGACTAAGATTACCTCGATACTACGCTAAGTGTGAGTAACAATCAAAGAGCAAGTCTTATCCGACACTATTGCGATGATATCCAGACATCAGTCTGAGCGAAATTAGAATGACTCTCCAGCACCTTAAAAACACGAAGACCTCAGGCGAGGATGGAATTACAGCGGAGCTTCTAAAAGCGGTACTAGAAGTCCTTCAGAAACACTTTTATTCCATGGTGGAACTACTCCGGAGGCGTGGAGCAGAAGTGAGGTGGACTTATTCTTCAAGAAAGGCGAAACGTTCTCTTGAAGATCTACAGGCCAATTTCATCAGCAGTACAACCAGAGTGACTGACATAACCCAACGGATTAGAAAGCTGAAGTGGTAATGGGCTGGCCATATAGCTCGAAGAACCGATGGGGAAAAAGGTTTACGAGTGGCAGCCTCGTATGTGTAGGCGAAGTGTAGGGTGACTAGTGATGACCTGGTAAGACATCCAGGCAGTCGATGGATGCGGGTGGCTCAGGACCGTACCCTGTGACATAACTTGGGGGAGGCCTATGTTCAAGACATGGACTTGTAAAAGGCTATAATAATGATGATGATGACGTGGCTCTACCACACCTAAACATGTATAAGTGTTTATAAGGTGGTATGCTCAATTTGTGGAAATCCTCCTGCAGTGCTGAGGTTTAAATGGTAGGATAGCCTTAGTTAAATTATAATAACAAGCAACGAGATAATTATATTGGATCGTTCCCACGTTCTCAAGTGGCAGTCTCGTAACGTAAGCGAAGTGTAGTACGGTCTCTCACTAGATGGAGTGACGACCTGGTAAGTTAGCAGGTATTCAATAGATGCAGGTGGCTCAGGACCGTGGTTTGTGACATATGACATGACCTAGTGAGAGGCCTATGTTCAGCAATGGACTTGTGATGGGCTGGAATGATTATTACGATATACGAAATTTATACCATCTAATGAAAGTATTTTTTAAGACCCTCGAAAGGACAAAAGGAGTAGATGGGTTTCTCAGGTGGGCACTGCAACGTACGCTTTATAGAATATTAATTATCCATTACAGCATATAAAAGTCTACTGCTAAAGTGAGGCTTATCTTCTCCATAAATTATCCCATAGTGAGATTTTGCCATTGTTGTCACGTTTGGCAGGTGGGCGCAAGCGCAGTTTTTTATAATTTTTAGTTGTTATTAGGATAACATCCTATATCTCCTTTTTCAGTTTACCTAGTCGCCTGTTACGATAACCTCGGAACGACAGGTACCAGTGGATATGCTTATATACGGTCACGTTATTAATAAAAATAACTTATATTAAATAACAAATGGTACCCTTAAAACCACAAAAGTATTATGTGTGTGTGTGTGTGTGTGTGTGTGTGTGTGTGTGTGTGTGTGTGCGTGTGCGTGTGCGTGTGCGTGTGCGTGTGCGTGTGCGTGTGCGTGTGCGTGTGCGTGAGCGTGTGCGTGTGCGTGTGTGTGTGTGTGTGTGTGTGTGTGTAATGTGTAATTAAATGTACTAGAAAAGACACCAATAATTGGTTTTTTGTAACACGCATTAGAGCCCACGGGCTCAAACATACTTAGTCTGTGCCATAAACAAATTACTCTGGGCATCCGACTACGCGCCCCACACTGCCGCATAGATTTTTTTTCAGTGTCTGTTCTAGTATATATTAGATCAATGACTTGAAACATTAAAATAACAACCGTAACACTCACACTAGTTAAAGGTATCTTATAATCTTTTTTCCGCAGCTCGGAATAAAACCCGCCACCGTCCGGCTCGGTACGCGCTTCTTCGTTCGGCTTACTTATTTTGCTGGTGGATGGCGGGCGTTGGAGACTCATGTAACCGTTGGACACAGGCCTCCGCTCTATTAAATTAGGAATATATTATTATATCTAAATTGAAATAATCAATGCATCACTAGGTATAGTACCTATAATTATAAGAAAGCTGTATGTATAACATTAATAACTAATAGAGCCTTATAGAGCTCAGGGGTTAAGCGCTCGCTGTAAATATCACAGTGATCGACCGCGAGCAACTCGGGTTCGATCCCCGCCGGCACCAATGAAATTGTTAATTGAAGTTTCAAGTGCTGATTTACCACGTGCTTGGCAGTGAAGGAAAACATCGTGAGGAAACGTGTATGTCTGAGAAATAAAAAAATATTTTGAAGACATGTGAATTTCGCTAACACGCATTGGGGACGCGCGGCGGACATTTCCTTGCCATCAGAAATAAGAGGAGTCCTTTGCTTATTAAGTGTGCTTTGTTCTGTGTCACAATAAAAATTTGCCTTTGTCTATTTCCTATTATACTATAATACTTTAGTAAATATATTAAATAGCTTATCCTTATAATTGAAAACGTTACCTTTTCCATTTTCTACGTATGATGTACGTATTTATTCCAAATAAGTTATTCAAAATAATATATAACAAAATAAAAGATGACTTTTTAGAACTATAAAGAAAAAATATTTTCGTCGTAATAATTTCTAATTTGGTGAGAAGACATAGTGTAAAGAAGACTAAATTAACGTGATAGAGCCATGCTGCAGCTATATTAGTAGTATAATTGTAGCACGAATGGGTCGGCTCGACCGGGGAAGGACCACGCTCTCACAGAATACGAGCGTAAAGGAGCAGCTTAACACTGCTGTGTTTCGTATGGTGATTGTAGAGAACCGGAGACCCTTATTACTGAAAAAGAGGCATTCCATCTTAGTCCTCACGGGTGACAACGCATCTGCATTTCGATTCTTTATTGAGGATAGATGTAGATGTCTATGGGTCACAGCAACTAATTACCATCAGGTGGACTGTGTGCTCGTTTGTCACCCTTATCCTATAAAAAAAACTGAAGCCCTGACATCAAATCCTATTTCGTGTTTATTATTTTCTTTTAGCTTTTTATTCTTTTAAGGGACTAAAGATATATATATATATATACATATATAGAAGGGGCTCAAGGATACATGTAGAAACAACAAGAATGTCGTGTCAATAGTTACATTAAAACTTAAACCCTTATTTTCCTCCTATAGACGTCAAATTGCTTCTCCAAATTTATATAGAACCATCCCTGAAGTAAAGCCTATTTAATAAAAAATAATATATAAATTTCGTAGTGGAAGACCATCTCCGAAAATATATAAAAAAGTACAATATTCTAAATGGAAACCTCCAAAAATAATGATTCTACAACTTACTGCAATGCAGTAGGCATATTATGAGTTAACTTACCGCGTTGAATTGGTGTCCGAGCGGTATTCGAACCAGGAAACTGTAGTGTAATTAGCTAGGTGTTCTGGCTACTCTATCACACGGTCTTAAAATAAAATAAATTCATAGAGTTTTCAATTAATCTCACCATAAAGACTTGGTATGATATCTGGGTCAGCATCATCAGCCTCACGCGAATCCGGAGACCGAAGAAGTGGTCCTCTTGCCTCACTAGGACTCGATCGAGGCGCGATTTCTTGCTTCACGGGCGTTGGACAGTGTCCAGTACGGTCCGCATACATTGCTTCACTGTAAAGAAAATTCTTCATAAAATTCAATATAATTTACATAATAAGGTGGCGGCTTTGAATTACTATCAGAAGACATGTATATATTAAAGCACAGAATACAAAACGTAATAGTGCTGCATATGTATAAAAAATAAACTGCTACGTAATTTATTTGCGTCGAGGATTCAACTTTATAATTCCAGAATTTATTTGTGTTAAAAATAAAAGGCTTCTGTGCTCGGCAGTGAAAAAAAAATATTACGAGAACCAGCATGTTCAAGAAATAGAATATTTAGATATGAAGACCGAATATGCAATGGAGCTACGCGGCACACTACTATCTCTATAACCCTCTTAGAAATTAGACATATTTAGGCAGTAGCCATAAGTATTAGAAAATTACTTTCTATTTCTAGATTCATTGTAACCCTTGAGAACTAAGATGGAATTTTTCATTTACAGTAATAAGGATCTCCGGTACTCTACACTCACCATACGAAACACAGCTCTATTAAGCTGCTATTTTACGCTGGTATTCTGTGAGGTCTTTCACCGATGGAGCCGACCCATTCGCGCCACAACCATAATATAGCTGTAGCGTGACTCTACAACGGATAAAGTTTAAGTATATTGATTACAATTAATTTTAATATTTTCGGCTTTGATTACTTTTAATTTTAATTTTCCTAGGTTTCAAATGTTGTGATCTTGTTCAAAGAGTGAAAATAGTGAAGTAAGATTTGAATAAAGGAAATTCAACTCCTTTATCTTCTTCATATTCTTAGATAATTATATTTTTCAAATTAACGCTTGATACGCCCACAGAACACATAATCGATGGGAAAGAAAGGCTCTAGAGCGGAAGCTTCGTACCGGTAACGATACCTGAACGTAGTACAACCCACGAATGACGAATGACGACATCGTAAAACAATAATCTGTGACTTTCCTTGGAGGAGGCACATGTTCAGCAGTGGATCATAGAAGATACAGATCTAGTGATTTAGTGATGATGATCATGATAAACGTGTTATTCTATTAGCCACCGATACTTTACGTTTCACAAGAACCCGGTAATTAGCAGAAGAACTAGGTAAAAAGTCCCCTTTCTGTCTTGAAGTGTAAGTACGTACCACCTTTTAACCCATTTCCGCCACTAAGAACTCAGTGTTGAAAACGCATTTGTAGTCTTCTTTGGTTAAAATTGGTAGCATGTGGCTGCAGTAGTCACTTACCATCAATCAGATTTACTGTTAGTTCGCTTACTAATTACATTTTATAAACAAAAAACTTACACTAGATAACTAAGATCGCTTCATAAGCCTTTTGAAACAGAAGAATTAAAAGGATATCATTTTAAAAATATAAGGAACGAAACCCACTTGAAGAAAATTACAACTACAATCAACACAATCTCGAAACTTGAATTACCTCAGTGGGGCGTGCTTCGCGGGCAGGTGCCGATGTCGGTTGGCGTGACGGCGATACAGCACGGCTAAAATGCCGCACACAGCAGTCGCTAATAGAGCTGACATTGCCGCTATCGACGCTAGCACTGGGGACATTCCCAATGTATTGCTCTCACCTATGTTGGAAGAGAAAAAGAGAAAAAATACAGTGTAGCACAAGAGTAAATGAGAGAAAAGATTAAAGACCTCTTTCAAATGTTAAGAATTCAAAGCCTTACCCATAAAATTCGAAGGGCTAAAGTTAAAGTTGGTCTCACATTTTTCACTAATTGATAATAAAAAGACACAGATATATATATAAGTACTAAAATCAAGTAAGTGATAACCAACGATTATAAGTACGGCCGGTTTGTTTTTTATTCTATAAAATACTAATTAAAATATAATTTCAAGTTCATGACATATAAAGTAAAACTTAAGCGTGTATTTATTTACGTAATTATTACAAGTTCATTTATTTTGCTTTTTTATAAAAATAAACTTCTCTCTATTGTGAAAAGTCTGAATGTGTCTAAAATTCACAGTGCTGTGTTATTCGTTACTTTAATGTATGGTAGTGAAATTTGGGTGTGGCAGAAGAAGCACGACAGTAGAATAAATTCCGTAGAAATGCGGAGTATGTTAGGACTGAATCAGAATGACAAGTTGAGAAATTGTGTGATAAAAGAAAAGTGTGGTTTGCCAGATGATGTTGTGACTAGGATTAAAAAAGAAATGCTTCGGTGCTTTGGTAATTTAAAAGGAATGAGTGAGGAAAGAGTGACAAGCAAATTTCTGTCGCAGGAGTTAACAACAGAGTCGGGAAGAAACGCTCTAGGTGACGGTTTATCGACCAAATTGTCGATATATTGAAAATGGGCCAAATTAAGAGTACCCTTAAACGACGAGCATGTATGTGTAGGTTGATGGTCGGGATTGTGCCAAATGGAAGTCTGTAGTCTCTGCCTACCCCTCTGGATGACAGGCATGAGTCTTTACGTTATGTTTTATAAATAGCATTGTTAGTGTCTGGATGAGTGGAGCCTGTAGTGGACATGAGAAACGCTCGTAATATTACAGCAGTGGCGGTAAATTTAGATGTTATATTAGTGGGACGCCCCGCGAAAAAGCGCTTCATACAGACCTTTTACTAGGGTCTCGTTGGAACAAGGCGTTTGATTTACTGCCATATATAATTAATAGAATCAGGCGTTACTTTGCGGAAATCCATTATATAAAAGCACCGCTGGGATTAGTGGTGACGGTGATAGTGCACGCAATTGAGGGAGGGCGGGAGGTGCTCTTCGTACTAGGTAAGACACATCATTTTATTTTATAACGCGGATATTTGCGAAGTAAATTTTTGTAAAAGATTTTATATAATGAAAAAAAATCAGGAGCATGGCAATGATAGACATAAAATGTATCGTAATAATATTTACTCTAGAGTTATTATCCAATGAGAAAATACAGTAATACGTTTGTAAGGACCAGCCACACTGCACGCTCCGCCAAACGCTTTCTTTTGTGCCCTTTCTTTTTTTAAGGCATAGCGTGTTCCAATAAAGCAATTTTATTTTGTAGAATATTTAAATACAATAAATCTAGCATATTTCTACGAAGTATAGCCATGCTGCAGCTGTATCAAGATTGAAGCAAAAATAGGTCGAATCAACCGGGGAAGGACCATGTACCCACAGAATACTAGCGTAAAATAACAGCTTAATTCTTAATATTTTGTATGGTAAGTATAGGAAACCAGAGACCTTTTTTACTGGAAATTAGGCATTCCATCTTAGTACTCAGAGTTGACGATGCATCTGGATTTTGAATCTTAATCGAGGATATGTGTAAATGTCTATGAGCCACAGCATTCTCTTACCATTAAGTGGATTGTGCGCTCTTTTGTCATCCTACAATTCTTCTTTTTATTCTACAAAAAATGTATTCGTTCGGTTAAAAAATTCAAAGTCTTATTGTAAATGAAAATTTAGGACCGTCTTCAGCGTTTTTTTCATTCTCATAAATTATTTCTGGATATAAATATGACATGACCGTGTGAAACAAAATAAAAAAAAAACGGTTCCCAACCCGCCTGACAAGCGTAGCAACTATGTCAAATATCCCCCCTTTTAGGCACTTATGGGGCAAACATGATATAAAGTCTTTAAAAAAGTAACAAACACAACACAATTGTTACAAATATGAAATTTGTCTTTACAGTAACATACAAATAATAAACATTTTGATTAATCGTTTTGTTATTGTTTTTAATATTAATAATAAATAAATTTTATTGATATATTGATTTAGCAAGCGTAGGCATAGGTAGACATTGAACTAAAAATAGTGAGTGTTTTAACTTTTAAGTTGAGTTGTTTGTTAAAACATTCAAAAATATCACTTTAGATATTATTTACGGAGTTATTTAGTTACGAGTTAAGAATTTGTTTAGTCTTCATTAATTGTCTCTGGATATAAACATAGTACAAAGTGTTTTAAACACAGTAGCAAACACAACACACAAAAATAACAAACATAAAATACAAAATTTAAAAATAAATGTTTTTTTATTTATTGTATTTTTGTACATCTTAATTAATCAGACTGGGCTCGAGCACTGCAGTGGGATGGAGTACATTGATTGATTAATTAATACCATAGCGGTATTTCAAATTAAAATTTATATATACGGCCCGCGGCTTTGCATTGTTAAAAATTTCTTTACAAAGCTATTATTCAATCAAAAATACTCCGTATAGTGGCCGCTCCTATTCTTGTTGGAGAATAAAAATTAATTTTTATATTACTAAATGGAAAATTTCATAACCCGAAACAAAAGAGCTGATGATCTTCAAATGACTGAAAATATTTTTTGAATCATAGGTAAGAACACTCGATGAAGTCAAATTTTGAACAAAAGAAACCCGCACCCGAATCGATTTACCCGTTTAAGAGCTACGATGACACATGCAGACAGACAGAGGTCTGTCTGTATGTCTCACATAGCGGTCAAATTTATAACAGCCCTCTTTTTGCGTCGTGGCTTAAAAGACTAACGTCCTCTCCGGCTACACATCGGTGGTAGCAGGATCTCGACAACATCGTCACCTACGGAGTCAAACAGTAACTAAGAATCATCGAGGTGACCCCAAAAGAAACCCATAAAAAATCTTCAAAATCGATCGTACTGGATTTTTATATATATAGAAAGACCAGCCATCCGCCCTGGATTCGTTAGGATAAATTCAGTATCTCGACGACAATGCCACTTACCGGATCCAAATATAGCTAAGAACTATCCAAGTGACTTTATAAGTAGCCCATATAAATTCATCAAAATCGATCAAGCCGTTTAAGAATAGAAGAATTACACACACACACACACACACACACACACATACAGGAATTTTATATAATCGTATAAAGACTAGCAATCCGCCCCGGCTTCGCATGGGTTATTTCTGGATCTTGAGATCAGAGGCACCTAGGCTATGTTAGCATAAGGTACAAACTTGTTAAACAATATTAATTAATTAACTTTTGCTTGCATCCTAATATTCATGTAAATTAACGGTGGGGATATGGCGCTGACAGCTGATGGACAGGTCTCCTAGTTCGGCTGCAGATGCTATGTTTCAAATATATGTACAAAATTAGCTTTATTAAGTGTTAAGAAAATATCTGGTTGCACTATGTACCTATTGGAAATAAAGAACTTATTATTATTATTATAATTACCTACTTGGGTCAACTATAGCTCCAAAAAATCAAAGTGAACCCAAATGTGAAGAGTAAACAGTCAGTATATTTACAGGCTGAGACGAAATCTATACTTTTTTATATAGAATACAGGTGACAAACTAGCACACAGTCCACCTGATGGTAAGTGGATGCGGAGGCCCATACATATCTACATTTATTCTCGGTTAAGATTCAAAATACAGATGCGTTGTCACCCCTGAGGACTAAGATGGAATGCCTGGTTTTCAGTAGGTATCCGATTCCTTTCACTCAACATACGAACCAGCAGCATCAAGCTACAATTTTACGCTGGTATTCTGTGAGAGCGTGGCCCCTAACCCGGTTGAGCCGACTCATTCGTGCTACAATTATAATTTAGCTGCAGCGTGGATGTATCACGTGATAAAACTCGAACAACAACGAAGAAAAACAATGTTTAAATAAAGAAAGCAACAACGTATCTGTATCCTTCTTTATTTAGAACTTGCAGGTGTCTATAAGTCACAATAGTCACTTTTGCCCTCAAAACGTCCAAATTGTAATTAGGCGGAAAGCCAGACGCTGGCAAGTAATTATACATCTAAGTTTTATTACAATGTTAAAAGAAAGTTAAAAAATACATTTACATAAGGCTATTTATTGCCTTTATTTAAATGGATTTTAACAATAATTTACAGACAGTCGTGCCTTAAAAATGGAAAACAGTAAAATAAAACGAATTTACCCTCTTTCTACCCTAGAAAAGAGTGCAATTAAAATTTATGTTCCAAAATAACATATGCTCAGGCTAAAACTAAATTGTTCTCGATTAGCGACCGTGCGACGTAATGTATAAAATTTACATATTAATGGAATATACTCGCGTTGCTCTGAAGCAACGTAAAATGAGTTAAACCATTTCCTTTCGTTGTAAGAAAGTCCTAACATATCTACTTATTACTGGCTCATTCAGTACTCTATGGAAATCTAAAAATATTACTTTTCCCATTAAAGGAACGTCATAAAAGTGCATAGATTAGTTTTTAGTTTAAAAACTGCATTTATGTAAAATTATTCGGCCGTAAATTCTTTATTTAAATAATCTTTATTGTAAGACACCTAAAACTAAGGGCTATAATGGGTAGACTAATTGCCTAACAGAATTCTTTACCAGTCAATCCTGGATAAAATATAGAAATTAAAATTTTAATTACAAGTACGAGTTCAATCCCCGCCGGCGCCAATGAAATTGTTAGTTGCATATTTAAGTGCTGATTTACCACGTACTCGGCAGTGAAGGAAAACACAGTGAGGAAACCGGAATGTCTGAGAAATAAAAAAACATATTTCGAAGACATGATGTGAAGTCCTGAACACGCATTGGAGCAGCGTAGCTTCCTTGCCCTAAAACACT